TTACAGGTATAGCTTATAGCCTGATGTTAGGGGATTTAAAAACAAAACAAAACACAAACCCTTTAGATAGAACATTTTATTATTTATTAGAATTTCATGCCACTATTCTTTTAGGTATTTGAGGGCTGCTTAGACATCCTGTCCATTTTATATTAAAAATAACCCTATGAAATAGAGTTGACTGAGAAGACCGTGAGAGTGGCTAAAAGTCACCCCCAAACACATTGGCTTTTAATTCGCCTACACTTTTATGATAACCATTTTTTCTTGCTTGTTGTACCACTACAATATGTAGGCTTGCCAAGTCTCCCCGGGGGAAGGGTAAAGCCCTGCCCAAGAGGCCCATTACCCGATGCCAGCAAATCGGGCCCCAGGGGGAACTCCACCCCCTTCTGTCACATGTCCCCAGCGTGATGATGTCACCCAGAGGTGACATAATCACGCTGGCCACGTTGGGGGCGGGACGCTCTATGATTTGAGGGAAAACTCTATGGTTTCCCCTCGAATCCTAGTGGCCCCACCCCCAACGTGCCGACACGATGACGTCACTTCTGGGTGGTGTCATCGCGGAGGCATGCACACTTCACACACGCGCATGGACTCCTGAGACGGCACGGGACTCCCCCGCGGTAAGTTTATTTGGACTTGGCAACCCTAACAATATGTGTTTGACAGATGTATATGAACCACTGAAGAAGGCATTCACAGTGGTCTGTATTGTATATTACTATACAGTAATAGTGATGAACAAGGTGTGGCTGTGTTAATACTTTCTTACCAGCTGACCTTAAAGTGTGTTTCCTAGCCTTAGTATTCTCCAGCAGCAAAATGGAGCAAATATTTACTAGATTGGCGGATTCTGACTGATTCTGTACTTTTTTCAAATAATCTGATGACCCAACAGTCTTGGACAACATAAATCACACTATTACCACCCTCTAATGTGTTCACAGCTTGAAACAACTGATTCTAAGACTGAGGCCTAGCTCAAATTTAGCCTTGATCAAACTATCCTCTGCCAGTTTTACTCTGCTGTATATCTGGGAATGCTACATATTCCACCCCCACCTTTCCTCCAGATTCACATTGACTATTGAAGAACAGAATCCCTGTTGCAATATATTTTTATTTCATGGGTTTATTGTAGAGATCTGACTAAGGGGTGGATGGTTGCATCATACAGAAAAGAAGGGAGTCAGGAAGCTTTTGAATTGCAAAATGTCTACTTTTATGTGTCAAAATGACAACTTTCTATGGTCTATTAGCCATAGCGACTAATTAGAACCTCCACCTCAGAGGCAGTAAGCCTCTGAATACCAGTGCCAGGAAGCAACATCAGGGGAAGGCTTCAGCCTCCATACCCTATTGTTGCCCCTATAGAATAACTGGTTGGCCACTGTGTGAAACAGGATGCTGAACTAGAGGGACCACAGGACAGATCATGCAAGGCTGTTCTTACTTCAGCTGTAGAGAATTCTAAATTGTACCACTACACTTCAATTAATTAATGTCTGATATTTTAATGGTCCTCAGTATAAAAACAGGCCACAAGAATTGTAGGCTTTTCCTGATGTGTGAATTCACTAAAGAGGTGCCATATTGAAAACAATTTGGGGGGGGATCTCTCTAAGAATTCCTAACAATTTCACATGGGGGGGAGGAATCCTCCCTAACAATCTAAAGTGATAGTCCAGGATTCTACCATCTCTGCTGCCTACAAAATGTATAATAATGTTAGAATACACAAGATCTGCTGTGTGCAAGAAGCAAGAAGGATAAGAATATCCTACAGGTTAAGTAGCTAGCAAAGTCAAATTAAGGACTTCCTGGTATTTTTCAAATAATCCCCTTCTGTCACCTTCCTCATCCTTTTGAGTTCCTCTTCCTCCCTGACTCATTTGTTGTACTGTTGTTACTCACCTGATTGGCTCATTGGAGACTTCCTCATCCTTTTGAGTTCCGCTTCCTCCCTGACTCGTTTGTTGTACTGTTGTTACTTAGTTAGTACTCTCTGCACAGTTCTTTTTCTCTTCTTAATAAAACTGTTTATCCTTAAGCAGCTTGAGCTCTACTTCTTTTGCATATTGAAAACTTTGCCACCAAATAATAGTACCCTTCCTTCACTTTTCTGTGATTGAGGGCAGGAACAAGTGAGAAGCTGTAGCTTCCAGTCAGGACTGACCCTTTCTGATGAGATGATTTTGGCCCATACAGCTTGTGATCCACCAAAGCACTTGCAGCTCCCACCAGCAACATATAGCAGCTTTCCAGGAATTAGATAAACCTGATTTGAATGCCTGCTTTGGGCTACAAAAGCTTGAGGGGAGTTGTCAGAAACCTGGCAGGCAATGACATATGGCAGGTGAAGTGAGTTTGGTTTGGTGCATCGCAAATGATGCAGGGTTGCCTTATGATAGCAGATTTTTAGCTGCCCCAGAGCCAAACACACTGAGAGGCTGGATATATGGTTAGACCTGCCAATTGATTAGTAGCCAAGTGCACGCTGAATCCATCCAAATTTAGGCCACTTTCCCCATGGATTCCTCTGGTGCACCGGCTGGAAATGGTCAGAAAACAAGTGTATTGATGACAATATACTGAGAAATGATGACACATCCAAATTAGGATGGGATATTTTAGCCACCACGACTGAGGGTATGAGAATGTAACAAGCCAAATAAAAGACTCAGTGGCATCTTGTACAGAAGAGGGGAGAGGACAAATTATGTAACTATATACTGTTCATGGTTACTGTACTACTGTACATGTTTGGGGGGGATGAGTGTAACTGTTTAGGCACACATTAAGTGCATTTTTTTTCATTCAAGGAAAGCAATGGGGGGGGGGAAGGATCCACCCCACCAGTTTGCAAACTCATGTTGAACAATTTAGAATGGAGCAATGGAAGGTAAAAAAAAGGTTTAAGCACCCTCTGTCTGCATAAATGTTTCCTTCCCAAAGCTGCTTTATTTTTAATGACAGTGGAATGCTAATATTTCTTACTTAAAAATCACCTTAAAATCACTACTGTGTAGGAGATTGTCATGTTTCTTTTTAAAATATAACTTTTTAATTGAAGAAATGAAGAAAGAGAATGAAGATCAGATGCACATTAAACACAATAATGTACAATGATATAAACATTCTGCTAGCATAAAAGAAGTCACAGTATACTGTGCATTAAAATGAAATGTGGGTAAGCACAAGCAAGACCAGTATACTCATACCTGATGGCTCCGCACCCAGGTATCCCACAGTCATTACTGGCAGTGCCTTCCCAGAGATCCATGTGCCTCTGTGTGTGTGTGTCATATTTAGTATTGGTTTCCTACTATTTTCTGCATAAAAGTGAGTGTCACTTAGGAAGTGTGTGATGTGACAGACTGTATATGAATGCAAAAGAGGACAATATTGACAAAAATCCAGAAGGGGAAGGGTTGCCAGGAGAAATATGGAATACCTTTTGCAAATAATATTATTTCACAAGGAACTGAATTTGGGGAAAGGAAGTGTATAGTTACAACTCAAAGTTGCTTCAAAAATGGTTAATACCTAATCTCATTTTTTTAAAAACAACAACCATGAATTTTGAGTTTGTGCAAGGTTTCATTTCTGCTGTCATAGTCTGCTTGAATTTTCTCCGTATATTTGGCCCAGGAAACTCAGTGACAGACCAGTTCTTCCTCCATTTGTTTGTCCTCATATAACTGCTGGTATTAATCCCAAATTACAGATGGAGAAATTGAGGCCAGTATTGATCCAAGGATCTAAGGAGTCAAAGGCTAAGCCAAAGAACAGGAATATATACATACATATATGTATGTATGTATGAATGTATAGTAAATCAGCTTTTGCATTTCCCTGTCAAGTCACTGAATTTGAAATTCACAATGGGTACCATGCACATTTGTACCATTGATGTGGAACTGGCTCTCTTTACTTTTGTACCCCACATATTCACACAGGCATTCAAACAGAGGCTAAAATGGCGTTTTGACAGCTTAAGGCTAGCCGTATTTACTCAGAAGAAAACCCTATTGATTCCAATCATTCCTACTCCCAAATCAGTATGTTTAGGATTGCAGCAGTACGGGCTGATCTCTCTCCCCTCCCGCTCGATTATTCGGGAAGCGTTGTCCAACGAGGTTCCCTCTTCAGAGAGGATGCCTGGAATCCTTACCAGGATTACTCGGGAGTAAGTCCCATGTATTTCAGTGGCGCTTGCTCTCAACTAAGAATTTTTAGAACGGCAGCCTCGCGGCCCGATCCTAACCCCGCGTAGCTGGAAGCAAATCTTATTGATTTCACCAGTTCACCCTCCCAGGTAAGTATTTATTTTTCTGCAGCCGCCAGGGGCGGCGGCGGCGGCAAGAGATCACCCTCCCACTCCTCCTCCCTGGTTGCAAAGCTCCGGGAGGGAACAGAAGCAAGGTGTTGGCGATTCCCACGCTTGGAATGGCAAGCTGTCCGTATTGTCTGGGAGAGACAGCCCTCGGCATCACCCGGGAGCGGAGCAGTTTGGACTCCGCCTAACTGACACCCAACTCCCTCCCCTCCCCTGTCGCTCCCGTGCTAGCAGCAGTCGAGCAACTGAACAGCGGCGGCAGCAGCAGCAGCATCCGCCCTTCCCTTCCAACCCTGACGGTGCACAGAGCCTCGGAGCTGGAATCCTGAGCGCCTGCCGCGGGCTCTTCCCTCCGCCTCCTCCCCCCAGCCGCCGAGGATGGGCTGCCAGAGGCCGCGGGGCATCCCCAAATCGTCCTAAGAACTGACCGGACAAAGGGAGCAGCCCGGGCCGGGGTGGATGCGAGCAACCATGAAAGGCTGGGTCTCCGCCCCT